CAAAACAGTTTCAACTCGCCAAAAGAAATACTCATAGACCTGAACCCCCCCCAAAAATTATTTCACTAGTGGAGCGGAGTGTGCCAAACAGAGTCTAAGTACACATTTTGTATTTCAATGAGTCAACTAATTTTAACTTTAACTAGATTTATAGAAATTAAAGGAATGAATAGGAAAACTATTGAAGGGTGTTTTTTGTTACATAAACCTATACTTGGCCATGCAGCCCGAGCCCCGGTAGCCCGGCCCACGGCCCGCTAATTTGGCTCGACACGAGTCCGGCCCGACACAACGCACGAGGGTCAGGGCCTGGGCTGGCTGACTCACGACAGTTGTTGCAACTCCGCCAGAGTGCTCGAAAGCCATGCACAGGCCGTCGCATGTAAGCCAGCTGGCTGAGGCACGGTCATGGCGGCATGATGTGGCAGCGGCCCGAGGTCGGCCGGCGGCGAAGGGCTAAATCATCGGCTCACTAGCTCAGCTGGCTGCTAGCGGACCGGTGAGCCAGCGTGCTGAACGACGCTTTGTCCTCCCCTGCCATATAGGCGCGAGGCAGCCGGCGCCCCTCACAAACCCTAAACCTAAATCACTCGATTGACTCCTCTCCACTCTCCAGTCCACTGCGCCGCAGCCGCCGCTCGCACTCTCGCCTACAGCCAGTCGCCTCGCCTCGCCGTATCCACTGTGCCGTCGTCGACCCCGACTCCGGTGACCTCGAACCGCCGCCGCCGGCGTGCTCCCCACCCTCTCTACCTCTCCCTTCTCCCTCTACCTTTCTCCCCTCTAGATCTCGGTGATTATGTGAGTTTGTTGACCCCGTTTGTCCCTCCTACGCCACTCGTCGTCTTTGTTGACCTTGTGTCGTCTTCTCTGGCCGCGGGTCTGTCGTCGTCTTCTTCTCCAGCACCGGGCTCCGGTTGCGAAGGTAAGCACCTAACCCTAACCTTAACCGACTAACCCTAATCCCCATCTTTCTTCTTTTTTATGAGATCTCTAACTGATCTATTCCTTCCTCCTTCGCAGGTCGGTAGCCGATGCTTCAAGCTCCAGCTGCGGCATAGAGCGAGGAGCAAGGCAGCCACCCGCACCATTGAGGTACGGTGCTGGAGAGGCGGCCATGGCTGAAGACGATGGTGAGCTTCCGCCTGGCATGGCCCCTGAGTGCGAGAACGACGACGACATCCGTGATGATGCTGCTGCGTTGTTCGGTGTCGATCTCGGAGACGACGACGGTGGCGAAGGGGCGACGGCGTCTGCGAACCCGGTCGGCTCCAACTCCAACGGCTCTGTTCCATCTGTTGCTGCTGCTGGTAATGGTAAGGTTGGTAAGCGCAAATCTCCTGTCTGGGATGATTTTGAAGAGATATTTGAGACTGTGAATGGAGTACAAATTTGCACTAAAGCTAAATGTAAAATGTGTAAGTCAACCTTGTCTGCTAGATCTAGTGCTGGCACTGGTCACTTGAAGAGGCACCAGAACTCTTGTAGGCAGAAAACTGATCAACGTGCTAGGGTTCAATCTAGGCTATCTTACAATCCTGATGGTTATGTGCATAACTGGGATTATAAACCTGAGGTAGCTAGAACTGAACTCTGCAGATTGATTGCTAGGCTTGATTTTCCTTTGGGTATTGGTGATACAGATGCATTTGAGGAGTACATTCAACGTGCTCATAACCCTAGGTTTTGTAGGGTGTCTAGACAGTCCACCACTAGAGACCTTCGTGCTCTATTTACTGAACGTCGTAATATGCTTAAGAATCATGTTTTGTCTGGTGCATCATCTGTTGCTTTGACATCTGACATATGGTCTAGAAATGCTAAGGAGGACTACATTAGTGTAGTTGCTCATTATGTGAGTGCAGACTGGGAGCTACAGAAAAAGGTAATTGGCCTCAAGTTGATTGAGGTGAAGCACACTGGTGAGAACATTTCTGAAAAAATTGCTTGTGTGGTTCAGGAATTTGGTATGATTGACAAGATTTATTCTGTTACTCTAGACAATGCTTCCTCCAATGCTAAGGCAATGGAGACTTTGACACCCATGTTTGCATGTTATTTAGGTTCTGATCCAGCACCTACTCCATCAGATCCAAATAAGCGTAAATATAATCTTATGCATCAGCGTTGTGCTTGCCATATCATTAATTTGATTGTGAAATCTGGTTTAAAGAGATTTAAAACTTACAGAGAGGATTTCAGAACTGCTATTAACTTCTTAAATTCATCTAATCACAGAATTGCCATGTTTAAGAATTATTGCAATGCTCGTGGTGTTAGACCTAGAAAGTTTGGTTTAGATATGGATGTGAGATGGAATGCTACATACCTTATGCTTAAACACACTTGCTACCTTACAAGGAGGTTTTTTCGTGTTCATTAATGCAAATTTTGGTGCACATTGTTGACTCCAAGACATTGGCTCATTCTTTGCCAAGATATTGGAGTTCTGGAATTATTTTATGAATCAACATGTGTTCTATCGGTGTTTACTATCCAACTAATCCACTAATTACGCAACATATGCTTGACATTGCTCATCATTTGCATGAAAGTGAAAAAGATCAAAATCTAATGGTGTTGTCTATCCTATGAAACTTAAATATCTTAAGTATTGAGAAAATATACCGATATATTCTATTGCTTTCATTCTTGATCCTAGAGCTAAGTTGAGAGGTTTGTTTAATGTCTTTGGTAATACTTAAAGAGAACATTGGTGTTGATTCTGATAAATATTATGCTGATGTTAAAACTAAAATTTATTATTTGCCAAGTATGACAGCAAGTATGGTTCTACAAGGTCTCAAAGGCCTGCACATCCTGCAGTCAACTCAGGTAAGAGGAAACAAGCATGGGGAAGGATCTTTGGCGGCCCTGGATCATCAGCTGTTGTTGGTCCTCCTCCCCTTGCCTCTGTCTCCACTTTAACTCAATCTGCTGCCTCTATTGCTTGTGAGCTCACAACTTATCTGGATAGTGACAATGTCACTGCATATGAGGATGATTTTGATTTGCTTCTCTGATGGCGTGACCACAAACTAACCTATCATGTTCTTTCTATAATGGCAAGAGATATTATGGTTGTTCCTGTTTCTACTGTCTCTTCAGAATCATGTTTCAGTTTAACAGGAAGGATTATTGAGGAGCGGCGCCGAAGACTTCTGCCTGAACATGTGGAGATGCTTGCTTGCATCAAGGACTGGGAGTTGGGTGATAGAAGACTTCAACATTCTGCTGACAACCAAGAGCTGGCAGAGTCCTTTGAGAATCTGTATCTTGATGTTCACGAAGATGGATCTGGGCCTCTTCCGCTAGCACATCACATCGCAAGTGCTTCATTGCTTGCTTCGCCTCTTTGCTACCTAAGAGCTGAGAGTTAAGAGTTCAGTTTGAGAGAGTTGAGATTGAGACCTGTGAGGCTTGAGAGTTGAGACATGATGCTTGTATCTGGTATTTGTATTGTGAACATTTGAACATTATAAGATGCACTTTTTTGAAGGGTTTTTCACAAGGGTGAGTTTTACCCAAAAAGGTTTTTAATGAGGACATTGCACACATCTCATTTCTATCTTTAAATCTCTGTCTTTTGTTGTGTTTGAGTCTTCTTTGTTAAGTTGTTAAATAGTTAAGTTGTTTTTGTGATTCGTGAATGACTTGTCAAAATTATGAATGTCTTTGTTGATTAAGAATCGATGAGCGGTTTTCTACAATTCGGGTTGTGGGTGGCACGGCCCGCAAGTTTTGGTCGGGTCGTGCTGGCGGGCGGCACGGCCCGAATTTCAGCCCGAGGGGCCGTGCTTTGGGCATCAGCGGGGCACGAGGCCCGGTAAGGCACGCTGACGGGGGGGGGCACGGCGTGCCGTGCCCACTAACACCAGCCAAGGCCATGCTGGCCCGTGCCCAGGCCGTGCCGAGCCGGGCCGGCCCGATGGCCATATATACATAAACCCATATCAATAAGTTTCTCTACAAGAAACTTGATAGTCTAAGCATAGCTTAGTTCATACTCCCTATGGTCCAGTTTATAAGACATTGTGCTTACGTTAAGACTCAAGCTTTATAATATTTGATCAATAATTTTGCTCATAGCTTTTGGCTATTGTAATATAAACTCGATATCATTAGATTTGTAATTGAATGTACTATCCAATAATTATAAACAATATAGTATAAAATAAATGAATGATCAAAGTATAGTGAGTTAAAGACTTCTGGAGCCAAGTATATGGAGTGTTAGATTGGCTACATTCGATTGCTATATGAAATGCGAGGAGCCTTTTGGTGGGAAAACAAATAAAGCATGTTGTCGTGATGGAACCTAAAAGTAAACTTACTTAAGTTAGCTAGAATTAACTACCCACAGTTTAAAAATCATATGTTTTTTCTTCCTATTTCGAAAATCAAAGTATGAAATTATAAAATTTTGTAATACAAGACATATAGGTGTGCAATTTCGAAGCAGATATAGCGGTATTTGTTAACTTTTTCTTAGATATAAGTTTGCATTGTGTAATTTTTTTTCTTCTAATAGTAGAGGTGGATAACTCAATTTTAGACCCACTGATATCATTGTCAATGGTCAGATATTCTTTTGTGAGAATTCCTCGTTTTAATTTTGCCGCAAGAGGACTAACATGGAGCTTGTTTCATACGTGAGGGGATGGCATTTGGCAATCGGCGCATGCTGTGATGACTAAAATTGATGTAATCTCTTACCAAGCCACGGGACATCATCATATAGTTCAACACAAGAGAACTCTACTAAACATCTTACTCCTGTACAAAAGCACAGATCCAGTGATACAACGCACAAGATTATTCATGAGCAGGTGTTTACTTCGAAGTACTTGATCACAATAACAGAGCATCACCTAACTTTATTTTTTAGCAGTAGTGACTGTAGGGCAGCCCCTCAGTCACCTACAAGTCCACACTAACGATTTTTCTCCAGGTCGCCAAAAGCTACCATAAGTTGAGTCCATGAGCAGAATAACAGCTAGTTAAGAGTACTGCTTGCTGCGAATGATGTGCACCAGCATGGCAAGCCTCTCATTCTTCATCGGCTCGAACAGGCAGATGTCCCCGTCCTCCAGGCCGCTGTCGCGGACAAACTCGCGCCATTCTCCGGTGGCAAGCATCAGCCGGTTGTGCAAGTCTGTGCGCCACGCCCTGCCCTGCCCCTGCCAACGGAGCGTCAGAGATTGCTTCCCGTCTGGAAGATACTCAGCGGTATCACTGAAGTCCTGCATTACATTCCAGGTACAAAGAGTAAATAAGCTCAACCAATACCTATGTACTGTCTACAGAACTAAAACTCGGGTTTTTGTGTATGCATATACTTGAAGCATTTGGACTTACTAGGATGAAAGCTTCGTTGTTGTAGCCAAGAATTTTCTTATTCATGGTCGCCACAAAAATGGACACTTCAGCCTTAATGGCCATGGCTTTCTCTTGCACTGCCTTGTCTTGTGCTGGAGTTAAACAGGTGCCGCCCAGTACCACGTAGAGAGGAGGCTTAGAACTAGAAGGCCCCCCACAGTCACTCAAAACTTGATGCCCTTGCTGCACAGGTTGACGCTTATGCAGGTCCAACGATCCAGAATTCTCACCTGCAAAAAGGATTCTGCATCATCAATTCATCATCCTCAAATAGAACAAAAAGACGCAAAACAAAATATGTGACATGCTAGACCATAACAGTGGAAAGTGTCCATACTGCCTGATTTCTCATGAACATGCGCAGTTGATGTCAGTCCTCTTTTTATATGGCTGTGTAAGCCATGAGCATGCCCATCCGAGGAAGAGGAACTAGCGCTTCGCTCACGAAGCAGATGGACCATCACTCTGAAACCTTTTTCACTTGGCATCGGTTGAAACAGGCATATATCATCCTCCTGTAAATGGTTATCACGGACAAAGTTTTGCCATCGCGTAGTTAGCATGTATCCACGTCCCTCAGGTCTAACATGGAGCCTGGAACGCCACTTTTTCCCTCCTGGGCGTTCAAGTGTGATGGATTGGCTTTCTTGAGGAAAGTGTTGTGCTGCATAACCCTTACAAATGACCTAACAGACAGGAAAACGATTTGTAAAGATTTGAACGAAAGGCTAATCTAGCAATAAACTCGATCCATTCATTCAACTGAAAATAAAGAAAATGACGATAATGCTGATGTAGTGACAAGTGAAAAAAAATGTAGTGTTTCAAAGTTCAATAAGAACTTGAACATATCCTTGTTTACTTTACAATACCTAAACCACGAATGCAACATGACACAACCGATAATGGTTTGCACTGAATTACTATAAACATGTAAAGAAGAGACCACTTCAATGGCATAGAGTAACCCACTACACAGAAAAAGACCAGTGCATATTACCAGATCAGATCTAAGATGGTTGACATAGCTCTTCTTCATTTGAACCACAAGGAAAGGAATTTCTGGTTGAACTTTCTTGACAAGAGCAACTATTTTCTCCTCTTGTTCTGCAGTCAGGTGGCACCGTGCCGATAAGACATAATTACGCTCTGAGAATGCCATGACATGATCTGACTGGATAGATTCGTAGCCAGATAGACTATCTTCTCCTGCTAAGATATTATATTAAATTGTAAAAGCGACAACAATAAAAGAAGTATGATGCGAAAATACAAATGGCTCAGCAATTTAACCTGATTCCTCATACAGTGAGGATGTTGCAGCCTTCTTTGCTGTTTCCTTTTGACAGTTTAAGCTTCCCCTCTTACCAGATCCACCCCTAGAACAAGTTGCTGTTGCCTGAATTAAATAGACTGTAAATGTGGATGTTCTCCCAGTCCCAGCCATTGTCGGTAAAAAGAGGCAGATATCTCCCTCCTGCACATGATTGTCACGGACAAAGTCCATTCACTGCCCCTTAAGCACGTACATTCTTGCATCTTTTCTTTTGCAGAATTTGGGGTGCCGCTTCTTGCTCTTGCCTGGCCTCTGAAGAGTCACATTCATGCTTTTACGTGGAAAATGTGCAAGTGCATATCCCTTAGAAATAACCTGATTATATATGGAGCAAGATGTGAGGCTCTTGACAGGCAACCAAGAATACAGTTTCAATTGTCAAAGAAAAGAAACAAAATTTATTTGTTTAACAAGTGTTCAGAAGGTTCCTGAGAACTTGAAGATGGCCAAATTCCTCTTATATCGAGAAGATAAATGCTCAGTAATACAAAATCAGCTATCAACAAAAAGTTATTATTGATAAGTGAGTTGCCACTGAACATGATGAGTTGTGATCTTACCAGATAAGGACAAGGTGGTTGAACATGGCTCTTCCTCATGACTGCCACAAAAGCAGTGCTTTCAGGTTGAATTTCCTGGATAAGCGCAATTACTCTCTCCTCTTGTGTTTCAGATAAGTAGCTTCTTAGTGACAAAACATAATGTTGCCTCAGGGGTGTCTGAAGATCATCCGACTCAGAAGATTTGTCTTCAGATGGAATATCTTCTCCTGTACAAAGTTTCGCAGCAGATTAGAGAATAAGTATCATAAAATTCAACTCAAATGTGTAACCTAATTAACATTAACCTGACTCCTAAGATGACGAGAATGCTGCAGCCATTTTTGCAGTCTTCCCATGATGACAGGAACTACCTTTCTGACACCTAACAAATCTTTCACTTGCTGATGATTCTGCGGTCTCATGATGAGAGCTGCTTGAGATATCAACGTAATCTACACTTCTTATGCCAGCACAAGGAAACACTTTCTCACAGCCATCAGAATCAAAGATCAAAACCTCAAAACAAGATCTCTCAACGTGACGAAACAGCAAGTAATCATTTTCTTTTATGTGATGGGACTCAACAAATTGCCCCCATCCATGTCGGAACACTACCTTGTTACAGTGCTCTGTAACTTCAACATCATATGGACCACAGTTAGGGGACTCTAACTTGATGGTTCCTGTCAACTTTCTAGCAAAATGCTTCAGAAATCTCTTCGGCACGACCTATAGTAACAAGGTCAAGAAGTATTGATGTAAACTGAGTCTATTCCTGTAACGGCCAGAGAAACAGTATATGTATAATGTAAAGTAAGATGTGCTCATTTTCTACAGTGGGGAAATGCTTCATAAATGCATCTGCTCACTGTTTAAACTAGCGTGGCACAAAACAAGAAAGGGTATACTCATTTCATGTACAAATTCGGCAGTAGTAAAGATCGATAGTGGAACAGAGCACCATCAGAAGTTAATATAATTATCTATTAGTTATGTCCAAAAGAAGCTGGTGCTGCACAAAATTACTGCCATTGTGGGGAATCTGGCAGAAATCCATGATACACTTTGCATTATTACACACTATTGTGACTGACAGGATTTGCCAACCATGAGAGGTTTGTAAAGCTAAACAAAATTTTGATAGGCAACTATGTGTAAGGGATCAACGCAGATGGTATTTAGTTTATTCAGCAGTGATCAATGGTATACGCGAGAAGACTCAAATACATGAAACGAACTAAATATCTTACAAAAGGGCAAGCTGAAGCTTTTCCTCAGGTAGCATGATATACATGTTCATTCTGCTTTTGTTTTAAAGCTTGGACATGTCAAAGATGTTAGATTAATCTCTAACCTAACTGGACCCAACGGCCCAGTTGGGCCTTTGATTCGTGCCCTGATCGGGGGCGCCCAGCCCACCATGGCTGGAGGGCCCCTGTCACCCTGCGTTATAAAAAGAGGTGGGGGCCGGCGGCTCTTGTGACGAGGTTGACTTGAGCCGTGCTCCCCATCGACACCAAAACCCTAGTCCGATCTAGAGGGCGCGCAGTCAGTGACGGGAAGCCACCAGCCGCGCCGCCACCGGACTCCACTGTCTTCACCGCCGGTCGCCACCGCGCATCACCGACCCCATCTTCACCGACCGTCACTGCCTTAGCGCAGACGTCGACCCCATGGCGGACACAAGCGGATCTTCTTCCACTGTGGTCTCAGGTCTAACACGACCATCTTCTACCTCTCCCTTCTCTCTAGTTCTACATGCATTAGAATGTACTGCTTCTCTTATACCGAATAGAACCCCTCTACCGTCTAGATCTATGATCCTAGTGATTCAAAGAATACCACAATGGTACCAGAGCAAGGTTTAGGTATAGATCTAGCTTATCAGTTTAGATCCATTCGGATCTGAGAAAAGGAAAGAGGGTTCAGATGGACCCTAACCCTAACTGGGTTAAGGAAAGAAGGTTCGGTTGAACCCTAACCCTAACTGGGTTAAGGAAAGGATAAAAAGAAGATGGTTTCGGCCTTAAGAACGTAAGAGCCGAACCCTAAACCCGTAAAAGTCTTCAACGGGGAAGAGAAACAGTAAAACCCTAACCCTAACCATAACTCTAATCCCCAAATCGGTTGAATCCGAACAAACGAAGTAAATCCGAAGGGGGGAAGAAGGGGAAGGGGTGGCCTACCTCGCCGCTACGCAGCGTCGTTGTCACGCCGGCGCGCGGGGAAAAGAAGACCTAGCCGAGGGCGCAGCTCGCCGGGCTTCGGCCAAAAGGGGCGCCGCGGCCAGGCCGCTCGACGGCGGTGCGCTCACCTGTTGGGGAGCGCGCACGCCGGCAAGGGGGACGGCGACGGCGCCAAGGCTCTACCCGCTCCACCGTCTTCGTCTCGATAGTTGCTGCTGCTTGCTGCGCTGAGGGGAGAAGACAGGAACGCGGCGAAGAGAGAGAGAAGAGAAGGCCGAATGGCCTCTAGGGTTCGGGGACAGCGGCCGGAGAAGGATTTTGTTTCGGCCGAAACGATCGGACGGCCGTCGGATGAGATCTGACGGCGATGGAAGATTGGGCTGCCTTTCGGCCCAGGCGGGCGAGGGCGCGAGGCTGAATTCCTGGCCCAGGCCCAGGTTGCGGCCTGGGCACGGGGGAGTGCACGTGCTGCCGTGGGTCGTGGGCCAGTTCTGCTGCTATGGGCCGAAATGGCCAAACACAGTGAAACAGAATATCTTTTCGTTTTATTTTTTTCAGAAACTTTTTTGATATATATTTGATGAATTTCAATTGATTTTTGATGTCCTACTCTGCACAATTTTGATCCAACGATAATTTTGTTCAGAAAAAGTAAAGTTCTATAAAGTTTCTGGAAAAAATAATAATGAGAATATTTACGCTTTCCGCTGCGTATTTAAAGATGTTATTTTCATTATTAAATTTTGAAAAATGGATATGTTTTAATTGATCATAATATTGTTATTATTCTGACCAATGTTGATTAATGGCAATATTATGATGTTTTGTCATGCATTAATTCTATTTCTGCCCAACGGTGATGTAGAATTAGTGTAGAGAACAATTGTATGTTTTAATTTTGACCAACGTTGAAACTAAGGCATGCAATTGTTATTGTTATTATTTATGTTCTCACACTATTTGAATTATGTTTTCAGGCGGATATAACTTGATGAGTTGTATCAAAGAAATCCCCACTCTCAAAGGTGACAACTACATTGAGTGAAAGAAAAAGATCGACCTGGCCTTCATCTTAGCTGAGGTGGATTGGTAGTAACCACACCGTGTCCCACAGAGCCTGTGCCACCGGTGAGGGAGACAAATGAGGCTGATGCCGCTTGGGCAACCAGAGAGAGGGATTTTGCATCCCTAAAGATGTCCTATGACCTTGAGCATAGGAAGTGGGTCACTGCCAATAAGAAATGTTTGTCTGTGATAAAGAACACGATTGAGCCTGTAATTGTGGGCTCAATCCCAGAGTGTGACACCGTCACCGAGTACCTTGACAGAATAAAAAGTCAGTTCACTGGCTCTTCAAAAACATATGCCACCCAGCTGATAAAGCAGCCAATGACAGAGAGGTACTCAGGTAATGGTGGCATTAGAGAGCACATACTAAGGATGAGCAATTTGGCATCCAAGCTAAAACCAATGGATCTGGCTCTCAAGGATGAGTTCCTGATCCATCTGATTTTTGCTTCCTTGCCAAAAGAGTTTGACACTTTTGTTGTCAACTACAACATACAGCCCGAGAAATGGGCCATGGAGAGGCTCATGGCTATGTGTGTACAAGAAGAGGAGAGAATGAAAGCTGCCAATGGTGGCTCTATCAATTATTTGAAAGACAATAAGAAACAAAATAATAATGCTAACTTTTCCTCAAAGTCAAAAGGAAAGGGTCCCATGCTGCATAAGCCTCAGCAGAACCAGTTCACAGTAGAGAAAGACCAATGTCTCTATTGCAAGAAGACGGGACGTTATAAGAAAAATTGTCCCGATTACTTAAAGATGATCATGGCAAAGAAAGGTGAGAACATTATTACGTTCATAAATGAATCCCTGTATGTACAGTATTCAAAATCTACTTGGTGGATTGACTCAGGAGCAACTGTTCATGTTGCTAATTCTTTATAGGGATTCCGTTCGACGAGGACTACGGAAAGAAGCAAAAGACACGTTAAAGTAGCAAATGGAGTCCGAGCAGAAGTTGAAGCCATCGACGATCTTTCTCTAGAGCTTGCTGATGGTTTCAAACTTATACTTAGAGATGTTCTTTATGTTCCATCGTTATAGAGAAACTTGATTAGTGTTTCATGCTTGGATAATGATGGATATGATTGCCATTTTGGAAATGACAAATGTAAGATAACATTTAATAATGCATGTGTTGGTTTTGCTATCTTACAAAATGAGCTTTATCTATTATCACTACGTGATGATGTGAATGTTGTATGCGATGATAGGAACGTTGCGTGCGACAATATGAATGTATCCTCGTCTACGGATGTAAACAGAAAATGAAAGAGAGCTCACGATGCATTGCCAAAATTATGGCACTGTCGTTTAGGCCATATTTCGAGAGGGAGAATAGAAAGACTAGTTAAGAATGATATTCTTCTTCCATTAGAGCTCTTAGATTTAGAACAATGCAGATAATGAATTAAAGGAAAGTATGTAAAGAAAATTAAGAAAGATGCCAAACGAAGCACAGGAATTCTACAGATTATTCACACAGATATCTGTGGTCCGTTTCCTGTAAAGAGTGTGGATGGTTATAATTCATTCATAACATTTATAGATGATTACTCCCATTATGGTTATATTTATCCAATCAAAGAAAGAACAGAAGCATTGGATAAATTTAAGATATTTAAGGCAGAAGTTGAAAACCAACACAATTTAAAGATTAAGATAGTCAGGTCCGACCGTGGGGAGGAGTACTATGGTCGGCATACCCCATATGGCCAAGTTCCTAGACCTTTTGCAAGGTTCTTACAAGAGAATGGCATAGTAGCCCATCATTCTACACCAGGCGAACCTCAGCAGAATGGAGTAGCTGAAAGGCGCAATCGTACCCTGATGGATATGGTGCGCAGTATGATAAGTTACTCCACCTTACCGATGAGCCTGTGGATGGAGGCGTTAAAAACCGCCATTCATATTCTCAATAGAGTACCAAGTAAGTCGGTGCCTAAAACACCGTATGAGTTGTGGACAGGAAGAGTACCCTCACTAAACCGCTTACGTGTGTGGGGGAGTCCTGTTGAGGCTAAAGTATTTAACCCAAACATTAGGAAGCTAGATCCCAAAACAGTGAGTTGCCATTTCATTGGTTACCCAGAAAAATCAAAAGGTTTTCGTTTCTACTATCTAGACAGACATACAAAGTTTGTGGAAACGAGACACGCTGTCTTCCTAGAAGATGAAATGATAAGGGGGGGGCATGGTAGCTCGAGAAATTGACCTTGAAGAGAAGCGGGTGTATGCGCCCACTCCGATGATTCATGAGCCATTTTTCTCATTACCTGCTGTCGCTGCACCGACAGTACAAGATACTGTGGTGCCAGCACCTGTTGTTATTCCGCCTGTGGCAACAATGAATGACGATGAGGAACATGTTCTTCAGGATCCTATAGAACCAATTGCCACATATGAGGGGGAGCAACAACAGCCTCAAACAGAAGATGTGTCAAATGTGGAGGCCCCTAGAAGGTCTCAAAGAGTTAGAAAATCATCTATTCCTGCTGACTATGAAGTGTATAATACTAAGGAATTTCAAATGGAGGATGATCCCACCTCATTTGAAGAAGCCATGAGAAGTGATCATTCATCAAAGTGGCTTGAGGCCATGGAAGATGAAATGAGATCTATGAATGCCAATAAAGTTTGGGATTTAGAGATGATTCCTAAAGGAGCCAAAACAGTATGCTGTAAATAGGTCTACAAAACAAAACTTGACTCTCAAGGGAATATAGAGAGATATAAAGCGTGACTTGTGGCAAAAGGCTTTACACAAAGAGAAGGGAT